ATTCCGGGGCACCGGGAGCAGCGTGTCATACCGGGAGTCTCCTGGTGAGACCGGGAGACTTGGGACGTCTGTAACTAGTAATAAGTAGCTAAGTACTATTAAATATATTAGTTTTAGTTTGTAACTCGAGATATTTTTTCGGTTGATCATACAAAACGATTTTGACGACATTAATTTTTTGCAACGCATTGAAGATATTAGTCAAAAGAAATTGCGAAAGATTACGTTTGATTAAATAACACATTGATTGCATAGTTTTAGTCCGTCTCCCACTGCTTTGTTGCTTCATCTCTTTGCAAATCAAATAGATAGAAATCGCCAAGAGAAAGTCCAAGAAACCGTATTAGTAAATTTGTGATACAAATTTGTTCATGTCGTGTATGAAGTAACCGTTACTGATCTGCATACGTTGAACAGTCTCCACACTCTCCCTAAACTTTAAATGCCAATCACAATGTCTACCAAACTATGAAATTCTCAGATTATTAAGATATATTGAGAATTACATCAAGTTGTAAACTCTGTGTATTCATGTGAAAACCAATCGTTTCTTGGCGTTACTTGTTTTGGTGTTACCAGGGGCTATACGTCACACTATACACAGATTTGACTCGTGGGTAGATGGTTCGAGGTCGTATGGTAAGGTCATGGGTTCACGATCCTATAGCTAGCTATATACTAGTGTTGCTCATGTTATCTTTGATTTGTTTCTTTCTTGCTTTCTTTTTTAATTTCTTGCTGCTGTTCTTCTACTCGATCATTTCTTGGCGTTACTCATCTTCATGGTTACCTATGTAAGTGGTCATGTTGCCTAGGCTTGTCTTATGACTGAATTTTCTGAGACCCTCTGGTAAGATTCAGAGCACAGGGTTCAGGCGCCATGCTAATGCTGCCTACACACATTCAGACTAGCTTGGCAAGAGAGAATGCAGAAATTCTGAGACGGCAGGAAGTGGCCAAAGAACAGGAGAAACTTATTGACACGAAGGTCACGGAATACATGCAGCAGAAGGAGGTAAGTTGTTGTCAGTGTAGGATTCGTTGAAGGGGATCCTATTCTTTATGTCATGGCGCCAAATGTAGAGCTGGTTGTGGTGGAAAATGTAACATACCTCGCACATCCTTGCATTCACTAACGGTACATCATCACACCTTGCACATCCTTGCATTCACTAACGGTACATCATCACACCTTGCACATCCTTGCATTCACTAACGGTACATCATCACACCTTGCACATCCTTGCATTCACTAACAGTACGTCACCTTGCACATCCTTGCATTCACTAACGGTACATCACACCTTGCACATCCTTGCATTCACTAACGGTACATCACACCTTGCACATCCTTGCATTCACTAACTGTGCGTTACACCTTGCACATCCTTGCATTCACTAACGGTACATCACACCTTGCACATCCTCTAACTGTGCGTTACACCTTGCACATTCTTGCATTCACTAACGGTACATCACACCTTGCATTCACTAACGTACGTCACCTTGCACATCCT